CTGGGGGCTGTTTCCTGCCGTGAGGCCCCTCCACCTCCAGACTTCTATCTGTGTTTCACACCCACCTAGTACCCCTCAGCAACTGTACAAGTGGTGCTAGGGAAGACAGGAGAAAGGAGGTAAGCTCAGACAGCTGCTGCCCCTGTGCTATTCCAGGGAGCCCCCAGCTCTGCGTACCCTAACACCCAGACCCGCACCGCCCACCCCCAAGAACCGCTGGAGCCCTCGCCTAGCAATGGGAGCAGCCCTGCTGGAGCAGGACCTGAGGTTGGGGGGCTGGGGTGTCATGGGAGTGGGCAGTGGCCAAATCTGTGCCAGAACTCTCAGTGCAAATTTTTTTTCTTACAGAAATTTGGCGAATGTGTGCTAGAAGTAGGATGTTTTCTGGGTGAATCATCTGTGCGCTGCCTGTGCACAAAATGCAGTTTCTGTGAGCGCGATGCTTTGGAGCTCACCCTCCAGAGCCAAGGTCAGGCCAAGTGTCTGTCCATAGCCATCCATCCTCAGCTCTGAGACACCGTGAGGAGTCTCACTATAAACTGTTGGAGGTTTTTCCATTGATGAGATAGATTTTTTTTTTCCTGAGCATAATCTACTTCAACATGATTTTTTTTCAGGGGGTGTCGGGAATTGAACTCAGGACCTTGTGCTTGCCAGGCAGGTACTAAGCTATATCCCTGGCCCTCAATATGATTTTAAAACAAAGAGGAAGTTTTGTTTGTACAGGGGAATGTCAATGGGGTTCTGTTAGCATCCTTAGGTGCTACAAGAGACAGTCCCCCAAATACATGTGTCCCACTGACAGCAAAGTTGGTTTCATTTGGAAAAGTTAACTTCAGTTTGCAATGTGGGACCATCTCAGTTGCCAGAAAATCAAAAGGCAGCCTGTCAAGGTTTGTAAAATTTTCCTCTGGCACACTGTCAAATCTCTTGCAAAATGAAATTGACCTACAGCCCTCCCCTCTGCTGTGACCCTCTAATTGGAGTTCTACCCTGTCTAAATATTTTGCAATCCTGCTCTAACGAGTCCCTGGCAGAGTTGAGATACCTCACAAATGGGGATGAGGAGAGTCTGGGGACCACCCCACTTATGCCCCTAATGAAGCTTGACAAGCCCGAGCCAGGTGGCACCTTCCTTCTGAGAGCTAGGCCTGTGGTGGGCTCTGCATCCTGCAACATGGAGCACAGATTTACAGTGATCCCCGCTGTCCTTGAACTGTTTCTTGGAAACGAGTTTGCAGAGCATTCTTCCAGGGCCCTGAGCGGGCAGGCGGGGCCCCAGTGTCGGCTCGTGTCTCTGAGTGATGGATTTCCATGCTGATTTTAAGGTCTGTCCACAGGTGTGGCAAGTGTTTTTCTGTGAGTGTTGCTCCTTTTTAACCGACCTAACACTGTAGTTTGGTTGCAAAACAGAATGGCTTTCTTCAGAAGTGAAATTAAATAGAAGCTGGATGTGGCAGTGCGTGTTTGTAGTGCCAGCTTCTCAGGAGGCAGAGGCAGAGAATCATCTGAGGCCAGCCTGGGCAGCAGAGCTGAGATAGTGTACTGGGGGTGGGGAGTGACGGTGCCTGGACTGAGAGCCCGTGAAGATGGAGGGGCGAAGTACAGATCTAGACCTCGCCTTAGACCTGGAGGCTCCAGGCAGGTGTGGGGCTGGGAGGAGATGTCCCTCTCTCGGGAGCGGAGGGTCCAGGAGCTGGCAGAGCTGAGGACGAGGTGGCGCAGAACAGAGGGCTCCGCAGAAGCACCACGCGCTTCTCCCCCATGCACCTCAAGATTAAACCAGAGCACTGAGGACCCCTGGGAGGTTCTAGAATGAGAAAGAGCACACACTGGAAAGTAAAGCCCCACCTTTCCTGCATTTTCATGTTTACGAACACGTGCCAGGAAATCAGCTTTTCCAGATTTCTTTTTCCCCTGGCAAGAGAAAAGAATTGTTAAATGTGGAATAGTGCCTTGAAGTTTCCGAGCATTTCATTATCTGTTTTTCAAGTTGAAATCCAAAGATCCCCATCCCAGGTGCGAAGGGAAACAGGCTTAGAAAGGGAACAAGTTAGAGAGGTGAGAACCTTGAGGTCAGTGTTTTCTTCTTGGCCTCTCATGCACTTGTAGCTAAAGATGTTCTAGATTCTAGTTCTTTGTTTTTCAGACTTGCCTAACTGTTAAGCGTCCCCTGGTGTGCTTGTTTTATACCAGTTTCTAGGCCTTCTCCCTGCGCTGAGTCCAGTAGATCTGGGCTGGGGTGAGGAATATGCTTTTTGAATAAGGTCACAAGGGCATTCTCCCCTCTGGCAGATTGGGAGATGTTACATAAGTTGTCCAAAGTCACGCCGATAACTTCTCCTGTCCCTGTGTCTGGGCCCTGACCCAACACGCATGTGCGCATGCACGCATGCACATACACACACTGTTCCACAGCCTTCCCTGAGACACAGAACTCGTGATTGATGCTGGGAAATCGTGCCATGTGCTATCGAGCACCTGCTACTATGGAGCTTCATGATAAGGGAGCAAGGCATGTTTGGCAGAGATGCATTTTTTCCATTATTTTCAACCCAGGGTTGGTTTGAGTCTGTGGGTGTAGGACCTGCGGATACGGAGGACCCAGCTGCCCCGTTGACTCTTTTTTTTTTTTTTTGGTTTTTTTCTCCGGTACCGGGAACTGAACTCACGACCTTGCGCTTGCCGGGCAGGCGCTTTGCCGCTGAGCTAAATCCCCAGCCCCCCCCCCCCCCCCGTTGACTCTTGTTATTTGTGTTAGGTGGGTTCTGTAAAGTCACTGTAAACAGAATTAGCAAATACTGAGTCACTGGTCTTCAGGAAAATGCAAGGTTAAGTTCCTTGGCGCTTTTCATCACCTGTCCATCAGTTGATCAGCACATAAGCTCGTTTTATCTATGTTTCTGTTGTGTTTGCTTGCTCACTTGCTTGTTTTGGTTTTTTGAGACATGGTCTTGCTGTGCCATCCAAGCTGGCCTTGAACTTGCAGTCTTCCTGCTTTAAGAATACTAGGATTAATGACATGTGTCACCATGCCCAATTTTGTGTTTCTGTCCAGTCACCTTATTTTATATGCTATTGATTCATTAACATTGAGCTCACAACCAATACCGGTATAACTCATGCCTGAACAAAACCTCTTTAACACTTGTATTTTCTCAGTGCAGCACGTCATAACCCCTTGTGCTCAGGACACTGGGCAGCACTTGGACTCAGCAGCCGCCAAGATCGCAGTCCTTTCCGAGTGTGCAGCTTAGGACTGGGATATATATATTCCAGCCAGAAGAGACCCTGGCCCAGGGGGGCTGAGTCCGTGCTGCTTCCTACCCAAGTCAGTCTCCTCCCTAGGACACAGACCTCTGGGCACCGGGTAAAGGAGTGGTTTCTGTGGTTCGACTCTGTCCCCTAGGCCATGCGTGGCCTGCCTTGGGAGGTGCAGCCATGGCTCCAGTCCCTAAGGTCTTGGGGGTTGTCTGAATTCAGCCCTTCTCTGGGGCTTCGGCCACAGCTGGGGAACTCAGCAAACTCCCCCCAAAAAGAGGGCTGTGTTCTGAGCAGTTCATGGAAGCTGGCGTTCTAAATGTAGTTGCATGATGACTGGAATCGCTCTGAGGAGGTGCTTCCCATTAGCAGAGGGGAGCGAAAAGGTGGGCCTGTGACAGGACTGGGTTCCGCTGTGCCCGCCACCGCATGATAAAGCAACGCCCTTCTCTCTCAGCACTTTAGCAAAGTGAGCTCAGCCGCCTCGTGGCTGATTTCATTATCTCTTTATTTCCAGAGAAGCATGTCATAACCAAAAATGTTTCCATTAAAGTGTCTACAGTGTACATGGGTGTGCATTGCTTCACCTCGCTGGAAAGCTGGGGTGATAAGGCTGCATGTGGAAGATGCTCGGCACACAGAGCTCCCACCCTCCGCTATCTGCCCCGCCTCGCCTGAGCTGGGGGAAAGCAGGCGAGTGTGAACGAGGAATTTCCATAGCCGCATGTGGATCTGGTGACTCTGTTTAGAGCAGGTCCGGGGATGTTGGTAACATGAGTCCTGCATCATTTTCCGAGTGGTTCTCAGCGAAGACTAGAGGATGGTACTGGAATAGAAAGCAGAGACTATTTCATAAAACCCCGTTTGCAGCCGCTTTGTGGTCTGGAACATTTTAGGATGTCAGAGGCCATCTCTGAATGAAAGGCCGTGACTTTTAAGCAGAGGTCCTTTGTGGGAGTCTCTCAAGGAAGGGGTGCAGCCCTCGGACGGATGAAGACAGGAGCATGAGCTTAGCCTTTGCTTCCTCCTGCCGCATAACCTCAGTCACCCTGAGTACCAGTACTGAGCCCCAGTGTTTCCCTCTGTAAGATGAGGCGGCGATGCCCGCCCACCTGCCACCACTGTTGTGTGACCATGACCATGGCATGACCATGGCAGGGCTCGTGCTTACTGTGGGTTCAAGAGGCGGGAAGTGCAAACATTTTTCAGATAACGACAGTAAAGATGTCAGAATTGAATGCACAGTCATGGTACTTGCCACCAATTCAGTCAGACTGTTTGATTGTTTCACCTGTATCAGATGCCAGGGGTGCTGACGTGGTCGCTGTAGGTGCTACAGAAATGTCTTCTCTGTTGCCATTTAAACATTCTGCACTAAATCCGGTGAGCTAGGGGAAGGAGAAACCATTTTGTGCCGTGTGGTCAGGTCCCATGGTGGGTCTGCGCTGGTAGCTTTGGGGTCCCAGCTCCCCTCTCTTCGTGCATAGGTTTTGGATGTTTGGTCCTGGCTACATTTCTTACTGCCTGCAAAGCTGTGGTGTCCAGGGATGGCAGAATACTATTTACAAAATAAATTAAAAGGAAGTTTTATTTGGCGCTAACCATGAGTACACTGGCTTCCTGCTGTCTCATGCTTACGTGTTCAGCTGAGATGCAGCAGAAGCGATGCTAAAGCCAGCAGACGAGTGGAAACCCTGGTCGAGCCGCCGCCTTGAATCTTTGTCTCTCCCTCTTCCTAGATGTGACATTTGCTGTGTCACCTTTCGAACACATCGAGGACTGCTGCGCCACAATGCACTTGTCCACAAACAGCTTCCCCGGGACTCCACGGGGAGACCTTTCATCCAGAACAACCCTTCAATCCCCGCTGGCTTCCACGACCTGGGGTTCACGGACTTCTCCTGTAGGAAGTTTCCTCGCATTTCACAGGTATTCTGCCTGGCTCAAGGCCACTCAGTTGGATGAAACTCCCTCACCCTGCAGTTCCCTTTCCTTAAAATGTTATCCATTGAATGGTATTTTTATTATAGCCCCTTTTCTCTTAAAATTCAACTTGGAGCCAGATGTGGTGCACATCGTAGTTCCAGTACCCTGCAAGGGTGAGGCAGAAGGATCACAAGTTTGAGCATAGTCTGGGCAACCTAGTGAGACCCTGTCTCAACCAAAAAAAAAAGTAAAAGGACCACGGATATAGATCAGTGTGAAGGCCCTGCATTCAATCCCAAGTAGTAAAAATAAAATAAAAAACGACCCACTTGGCCCTTTCTGTCTCCCTGGGGTTGTTAGGTTGAGGGGTAGGTGGTGTGGGTCTGGCTCATCAGTGCTTTTGCCCGTTCTTGGGACTTGGGAACTAGAGTGTGAGTTGTTTACCACCCCCACCTGAAATCCTATTGTAACTTGAATTCATGTATTTTAGTCTTTCATTAGCATCTGAATGAATATTTCTAGCATTGTAGTTTCTGTTAAAAGAACCAGTTTGGAGGCTGGAGTGCAGAGCAAAACAGCCTACAGGCAAGGAGCCCTGGGTTCCATCCCCACCACCATGCCCCAAAAGAAAAGATTTGGCTTATTTTCCATTTGAACAAGAAAAAAAACCTTATTTGTTGTCTACTCCTAAAGAACCTGCTGTAAAAGTACTTTGAAATTGTCTTTCCATTTTGTAAAATTGACATAAACACACGAGCTTCAAGTTTGTAGATTCTTCCCTATGTGTAGACCCGTGAGTCACCAGCACCACCATGCAGTGCCGCTCCAGCCCCTCCCCAGCAGCGTCCCCGCCCCTGTAGTCACAGAGGAGCAGTTCTCCCCCTTCTGTCACCATCAGCTTCTAAGAAGATGAGGAACTGCACCTCCATAGCGGTGTTAGCCGCTGCACGTAGGGCTGGACGTGGTTTCTTCAGATGCTGTGCTGTCTCGCAGCTTCAGCCCCAAGGAGCACTGTGGGGAGGGCCGGTGCTCACAGAGTAACAGAAAGGCTGCACACCGGCCCCGCTGTCGCACAGATGCTTCCCTCTGATGCTTACGATTAAACCTTAACCTTTGTTCCCTCACTCCTGCCCTCTGGTTGCACACAGGCCTGGTGTGAAACAAACCTGCGAAGGTGCATCAGCGAGCAGCACCGTTTCGTCTGTGACACCTGTGACAAGGCATTCCCCATGCTGTCTTCGCTGGCCCTGCACAAGCAGACCCACGTTGCCGTGGACCAGGGCCAGGAAAAGCTGCAGGCCGACGTCCTGGCCGGTGGTGCCTTGGACCAGAAGGTCTTCCTGGCCTTGCTGGGCCTGCAGCACACCAAAGACGTCAGGCCCCCACCCGCCGAGGAGCCCCTGCCAGATGACAACGAAGCAATACAGCTCCAGACACTCAAGTGTCCACTACCTCAGGACCCTGGCTGCGCCAACGTGCTGAGTCTGTCTCCTTTTGAAGCGGCCTCCCTGGGTGGCTCTCTCACAGTGCTCCCAGCCACCAAGGAGGGCATGAAGCATCTGTCCCTGCAGCCCTTCCAAAAGGGCTTCATCATCCAGCCTGACAGCAGCATTGTGGTCAAGCCCATCTCCGGGGAGTCAGCCATCGAGCTGGCCGACATCCAGCAGATCCTGAAGATGGCAGCCTCCGCCCCCCCACAGATCAGTCTTCCCCCGCTCTCCAAGGCCCCTGCCACCCCCCTGCAGGCGATTTTCAAGCACATGCCCCCTCTGAAGCCAAAGCCCCTGGTCACGCCCCGCACAGTGGTGGCCACCTCCACCCCGCCTCCTCTCATCAATGCGCAGCAGGCATCCCCGGGCTGCATCAGCCCCAGCCTGCCCCCGCCGCCGCTGAAGCTCCTGAAGGGCTCGGTGGAGGCGGCCGCCACCGCCCACCTGCTGCAGTCCAGGTCCGGGGCACAGCCAAACTCGGCCCCACAGCTCTTCCTGCAGCAGCCACGCGAGCTGGCGGGCCAGCCCGAGATGAAGACGCAGCTGGAACAGGACAGCATCATCGAAGCCCTGCTGCCGCTGAGCATGGAGGCCAAGATTAAGCAGGAGATCACAGAGGGTGACCTCAAGGCCATCATGACAGGACCCGGCAGCAAGAAGGCCCCCGCCGTGCGCAAGGTGCTCTACCCGTGCCGCTTCTGCAACCAGGTGTTCGCCTTCTCGGGGGTCCTGCGTGCGCATGTGCGCTCGCACCTGGGCATCTCCCCCTACCAGTGCAACATCTGTGACTACATCGCGGCGGACAAGGCCGCGCTTATCCGCCACCTGCGCACGCACAGCGGTGAGCGGCCCTACATCTGCAAGATCTGCCACTACCCCTTCACCGTCAAAGCCAACTGTGAGCGGCACCTGCGCAAGAAGCACCTCAAGGCCACGCGCAAGGACATCGAGAAGAACATCGAGTACGTGAGCAGCAGCGCGGCCGAGCTGGTGGACGCCTTCTGCGCGCCGGACACTGTGTGCCGGCTGTGCGGCGAGGACCTGAAGCACTACCGCGCCCTGCGCATCCACATGCGCACGCACTGCGGCCGTGGCTTGGGCGGCTGCCACAAGACACGCAAGCCCTTCGAGTGCAAGGAGTGCAGTGCCACCTTCACCGCCAAGCGCAACTGCATCCACCACATCCTCAAGCAGCACCTGCACGTGCCTGAGCAGGACATCGAGAGCTACGTGCTGGCCACTGGTGGCCCAGGCAACACCGAGCCCAGCACTGAGGCCGCGGGGAGGGCAGAGGAGGGCAGCGGTGTGGCCTTCGGTGACTGCAAGCCCCTCGCTGCCTTCCTGGAGCCCCACAACGGCTTTCTTCACGGGGCCTCCGCCCAGCCACCCCCTCCCCACGTGGCGGTCAAGCTGGAGCCGGCCAGCAGCTTTGCTGTGGACTTCAGCGAGCCCCTAGACTTCTCGCAGAAGGGGCTGGCACTGGTGCACGTGAAGCAGGAGAATGTGCCCTTCCTGAGCCCTTCCGCCTTGGCCCCCTACGACTGCTCCATGGAGCCCATCGACCTGTCCGTCCCCAAGAACCGCAGGAAAGGAGACAGGGATGCAGCTGCGCCCGGGGAAGCCGAGAAGCTGCAGCAGGAAGAGGGCAGCGCTGAGCAGCCTGCGTCCTGCCCAGCGCCCTGCCCTGCCCTGCCGCCCACTGTGGGGGCCAGCGGGAGCCTAGAAAGCCCCACTGCTGCTGTGGCGGCGGCCACCACAGCCGCCCCCCTGGACTCCCACGCCCAGCCTCTCCAGGGCTCCGTGCAGCTGGCCGTACCCATCTACTCCTCAGCTCTCGTCAGCAGCTCTCCCATCCTGGGCAGCTCTGCCCTTATAAGCAGCTCTGCCCTCCTGAGCAGCCCAGCCTTGCTGCGGCCACTGCGACCCAAGCCCCCCCTTCTCTTGCCAAAGCCTCCCGTGACTGAAGAGCTGCCCCCACTGGCCTCCATCGCCCAGATCATCTCATCCGTGTCCTCCGCCCCCACCCTGCTGAAAACCACCAAGGCGGCCAACCCCGGGCCCACAAGCAGCAGCAGCAGCAGCGTGGCAGACACGGACAGCTTAGGAGGTGCCATCCCCAGAGCTGCTGCTACACCCACCGATGCCACCAGCCCAAAGGAGGCCAGCGACCTGCCGCCTGTGGCCAGCAGCCCAGAGGCGGCCTCCCCCACTGAGCAGGGCCTGGCCAGCTCCTCCAAGAAGAGGGGTCGCAAGAAGGGGATGCGGAACCGGCCCTGCGTCCACAGCGGCGGGGTGGACCTGGACTCCAGTGGGGAGTTTGCCAGCATCGAGAAGATGCTGGCCACCACGGACACCAACAAGTTCAGCCCATTTCTGCAGACTGCAGAGGATGACGCTCAGGAGGAGGGACCCGGGGGCCCTGCCGACCACCACGGGCCCAGTGATGAGGAGCAGGGCGGGCCGCCCGAAGACAAGCTGCTGAGGGCAAAGCGGAACTCCTACGCCAACTGCTTGCAGAAGATCACCTGTCCCCACTGTCCCCGGGTCTTCCCTTGGGCCAGCTCCCTGCAGAGGCACATGCTCACACACACTGGTAAGAGGGCCTGCTGGGCACACGCGGCCGGGCGTCCCGCTTCCGGTCGGGCAAACTGAGCCAGTAAGGGGGAGGAAAGCATAAAGCCTGAAGGAGGGGGCCTTCCCCCACACTCCACACAGTCCTGGCTTCTTTGAGTCTGGGAGCCGCAGCTTGCCTGGGGTTGCTGTGGTCTGCCCGTGCTCACCATGCCCACAGCGACCTGTGCAGGCTGCTGGCGAAGGGAGGTGTCCGGGGCTCGCACGTGAAAGCGGTCGTAGCCCGACAGGCCCTTGCACACCTTGCACACCTACACACACACACACACCCCTCCCTGCCTTCCCAAGGTTCGAGACCACCTCCAGGGTTAAGTGGGGAAAGCAGCCTTTGTACTGTGTTGGGGCACGATGAGCTCAGGGCTGTGACATGACGCACTGCCTCGGTGTCCTCAGTGTAGCTTTTAAAATTCTGAACATTATGAAGTTCTTTTGGCCGCCATGTGTCTGTAAAGGGAAATACTGCCAGTGTAATATTGGCCATTTTCTTCTAGTTCACTAAGGCAGGTGCACTTGCCCTGTTTATTTTGAAAATTGGTAATGGATTATGATAGAATCTTTTATTTTCACTAATAGTGTCAGCTCTTTCAGAGAGACTCTCCAAGTAATGAGTAATATCCTAAGTAACATACTTAAATTTAAAACGATACACCAAAAGTACTTTTCAAATACTAGTTTCTCTAAGTTGAGTTTTAAAGATAAGTTTAGGATATGGAATGCATCTTAAATAATTTTATGCCAGTGACCACACAATTCATTTTAATGACAATTTTCTGAGTATTCTCTCAGGGTTTACATCACTGAACTAAGTAAACTGAGTAAGATCTTTGCCTGTCTAGAGTTTATTTATAACCCACATATTAATAGATAGGAATAGAAACCAAATGGTGCTGTCCACACGGTACAGAACTGCGGGAGAAAATGCAGGTCACCAGTTAAGTTTGAGATTCAGATAACAAGTATTTTATTGTATGTTTTTTCCATGAGGTATTTGGGAAAGACTGTTCCTTGTTGCTGACCTGAGGTTCCGGTATAACTGGGCATCCCGTTTTGCTTGTTAAGGATAAACACGGCAGCCCTGGGTGGGGGTCACGGCAGTGATGCAGGCCGAGGGTGTAAGGCAGGACCCCGGGAGCTCCAGGCCTCGGTCAGGCTATGTCCATTGAGGAGGTGGAGAGCAGGACAGACACTGTCAAGCTGTCGGGTACCTGGAGAGTGCAAGGGCACCGGGTCGGGGAGACGAGCTGTGGGGCTGTGGCTGGGAGGTTGGGGGCCCTCTTGGCCGCACCAGTGCCATAAGTTGCCACGCAGCTGGGCACTCCAGGAAGTTGGCAGTGCCAGCCTGTCCAGACCCGGGAAGCACATGCTGCCTTTACAGCCTCATTTTCTTTCCACTGAAATAATTTAAACCTAAGAAAGCCAGCAGTTCTCAGGAAGATAGCAGCTCCCAGACAGTGCCTCACACAGCAGTGTCTTTCGCTGCCCTTTTTGTCCCCTGCAGGGTCTTTGGAGAAACAGTTGTGTCACCACTTTTCACCAGCTGAGGGTGAGATCTGGTGATTCGCTTGGCCCGGCCCTTCCCCTCCCCGCCCCCACCGCTCCCCTCAGCCAAAAGCTGCGGTCTCCAACCTCCCGGCCCCTCCTCCAGATGAGAGCCCCGTACTTGTTCCACGCTGCGTGCACCTCCTTCCTCAGATGTTTCTGCTCCCAGCAGGCCGACAGCCTCCCTGAGAGGCTCGAGCAGCCGCGTTTTCAAGGATTGGGCCAGGGTCTTGCAGGCACCTGATGCACATTCCCTGGGTAGTATTTTGGGATTGCCTGGCCCTGAGATGCCAGAATGCCATTGGTTTAGAATTCAGAAGCATCCAAACCCAAACAAGATAAACGGAAGCCTTACTCAAGACAGGTGGGGTGGATGTGGACACCAGCGTGTTCTGTCACCTCTGCTTCGTAGCTGCTGGGAACCCGAGTGCACTGCGCGGGCCTGCGCCCCGACACCCTGTCCTGTCTGTTCTTAGATGAGGTGAGGGCGATGCCGTGAGGGTGATACTGATGCTTCCAGGAGGAGCTGCAGGCCTAGGGAGGCCGACTTGCTGCTGGCCCCTCGGGCACTGAGGGAGGGTCTGGTTCCCCCTAGGGCACACTCCATGCAGCAGCTGAAGTCAGGGTGCACGTGGCCAGCGGGGCCCGTCCTGAGGCCTCCCTGTGTCCTCACACGTCCGTGTCCAGCAGACTGGGAAGTGGTTGAGGACGGGCGAGCACAGCTGGAGTCAGAATGCTGTGAGCCGGGTCGTCACTGGTTTCAGGGTTGTGCTGGACACTGAATAATGGGGCTCCGTTAACTTCCTTGTGTGCACTGCTCTCCGGCCTTTTTTGGTTTTTAAGTCAGTGTTCTGGGCCTTCACACTGAGCTGCATCCCCAGCTAATCTTTATTTTGAGGAAAGGACAAGCTAAGTCACTGAACTGTCCAGGCTGAGCTCAGACTTGCAGTGCTCCCGCCCCAGTCTCCCAGAGTGCCGGGGTTATCGTCTCTTTTCAGCCTTTTCAGTGTGATATTCATATCTTGATGACGACTTCCCCCAGGAGAATGAGGCAGGAGGATCGCTTGAGGCCAGCCTGGACAAATTAATTGCAAGACCCTCTCAAAATAAAGTGATAGAAAGCAAATCAGTGCAGTTCCAGCCAGCAGTGTTGAGCCGCATCCAGTCTGCCGCTGTAGTTCATAAACCGCCTGCATCCTCCGCTCAGTGCCACCCGCCCCCTCAGTCGCCCTGCGTCTGCTCTGCCTCATGCGTTCCCCAGGCCACCACCCCACAGGGCAGCAGGAGGCCAGGTGCACGCTGCAGTGGTGCAAGGTGCAGCCCTCTCCTGGCGTGGGGTCCAGGAACTTGTGTGAGGCAGAAGTGGTCTTTCACGTGCCCTGGCATGGTCTGCACACACCCGCCTTCTTCCTGCCACCCTCGGGACTCTCCCAGCCCTACTTCCTGTCGGTGGGGGTAGCTCTTGGTTCCTTACCTCTTTCTCCCTGATAGTAATCGCCCCCAGGACAGCAGCACTGTCCCTGCCTGGACTACCCTCAAAGCATCCTGTCCTGTGTCCCTGCAGCTCTGGCCTCGTTTTCTTCCTCCTCCCCTCAGCTCCCTTCCTTGTGCCCTAGACACAGAGCGAGGCCTTGGGACTCTGGCATCCCCTCCAGCCCAAGCATTCTGGACCCCTGGCCGGCTCGCTTGTACACAGGTACCTTGAGCCCCTTTCCTCCACCGCCTTGAGGGTCTTACCCCACCTACTCCTAACGGGGAATAAGCGTCAGAGTGCAGATGAGTAAGAACCGGGTGTGGTGGCTCATGCCTGTAACCCCAGCTACATAGGAGGCTGAGGCAGGAGGATCACAAGTCGAAGGCTACTCAGCGCAACTTCAGATCTTGCATCAAAATAAAATTTTAAAAGGGCTTGGGGTATAGCTCGGTGGTAGGATACCTGCCTAGCATGTATGTGGCCCTGGGTTCAATCCCCAGTACCATACACACAAAAGGTTTAATAAGATGTCCTTGTCAAAGAGTGGAAAGCACCTTGGACTCGGTTGTATTTTATTTGGCTGCTTTTAACTTTCTGAAGTAGCAGCTTTGACCTCTTCAGCCCAGCCCTGTGTACACCTCTGCAGATAGGGAGAGAAGGAAATGCCACGGGCGGACACCTTCACCTTGGGGATGGAGGAGTGGTGGGAGGAGCCGGGGTTTGAGCTGTCCTGTGAGGACGCAGAGGGCAGGGGCCCGGCTTCCTGGGTTCTGTGTCTGGCACAGCCGCCTGCTCACTGCCTGGCCTCACTCTCGGTGCAGTGTGTGAGCGGAAGCACTCCGGGGGCTGTGTGCAGGGCTCGCGGGAAAGCCTTCGTCTCCCAGGCAGCTTCTGAGCCAGTCTCTGTCCTGGGGCCAAGGCGCTTAGGACCACCTCAGGGCCCCAGTCCCCTGACCGCACCCCTGCCCAGGCAGTGGCTCGGCTGTTGCACTTAATAAAGGTGACCAGCCCGTGAGTGTGTAGTCCAGCCGAGAGCACACTGCTGGAAACGCAAGGCTGTGCAGCAAAGCGCGGGCCCCTCCCGACCACCATCCACAGCTTTGTGGGTGCGTCCCAGGGTGTGAAGCTGGGCACCACCCGGCACCGTTCTCAGCGCAGCGCGGCAGCCCGGCTGGCCAGCCTGGTGGTGGAGGTGAAGGGTTGGCAGGTGTGAAAGTTGTGCAGTAGAGAAGTGAGAAGCTCGCCGTTCTCCGTGAAATCAGGAACCCTGGCACAGCGGCCTCTGACTCGCTCTCCCTGGGAGTGCTGTGGGGGAACCTTGGGCCTCTGCCCTGAGCCACACGAAGCCCGTCTCTGTTCTTGAGCAGCTGCTGGGGAGGCTCGGACCCTCATCTCGGGAGTCTTCCAGCTCGTGGGGAACACATGCCCCCACCTGTGATTGCACTGTCACACAAGTGTCGTTGCGTCCCTGCAGACCGCGATCACACTCCTAAAGCTGAGCGGCCTGGTGGGCCAGCTGGGGCCCCGCCTGGCCTCCCTTGGGGAACCAGCCGCCCCTGCTACCAGGCCCTGCCAAGCCCCCTCAAGCATCTGCAGCCCAGGGTCGCAGAATTTGTTTACTGGGAGCTGTTCTGTGGCTGGCCCACAGTTCCTCTGGTTTTTGAGAGGAGGTCTCACTGTGTAATCCAGGCTGCCTTGCACTCAGTCAGCCTCTTGCCTCAGCCTCCCAATGCTACTGCATGCCACCAGGCGTGCCCCGCCTGCCAGGTCTTGACCCACATGTTTGGCTATGGCATCCCCAAGGGTCTGAGGTAGCAGGACCAGGCCACAGGACACCTTTTCCCTGTGACGTTGGAAACGGGGACCTAGCATCTGGTGGGCAGGAAGAAGAAGCAGCAGCACTGTAGCAGGTGATGCATCACCAGTCCCTTTCCTCTTCCTGCACCTCCGCCTCCTGCTTCCCTCTCCTTCCTCTTCTCCCTCGCTCTTCGCCCGTGCCCCGCCTCCTTCCTCCCCTCCCTCCTCCCTCCCCCCTCGTCCTTGTCATCCACTCCACTGGCTCCGTGCCCTTTCTTTCCACCTCGTCCATCCACACAGACCCAGGGTAAGTTGCAGAGGCTTTGCATTTTGAACCATCGCATTTACAGTACAGAAGGAACCCAAATGCAAGAAGACAGGCGGGCCCAAGCAGAAAACTGCGTGGGGAGGGGAGGGGGGCCAGGGGAGGAGGCTGCGGTCGCACCTCGCCCCTGGTGTGCAGCCAGGTGGGCTGGGCAGGGTGGGGCAGCACAGCAGGCCCGGCCTCCCCTTCCTCACCATCTGCCGAGCGGTCAGTACAGGCGGCGTACACGTTGGTTTCTTGGTCACCACCAGGCCAGAGCCCAGGGTGAGAGCAAGAGCCCTGGGCAAAGCCCTCCTGTTTCCCGCTGGTAGGCAGAGGTCCCTGCAGGGTGCTCTGGCAGTCAGGCAAGAGAGGCCAGGAAGTTGGGTTCTCCTGTCGTCCCTGTGGGAGGCCGCAGCCACCTAGTCAGTGCCACCTCAAGTTGGGGCGCTCCCTGGCTTCTCTGCAGGGCCCCAGGGCACCTGGGCCTCTCCCCATGCCACCTGCTCACTTGCCAGGCACGGTCTGGCGGTCTCCCCTGGGTCAGAGTAGGTGTTGTCTTGCTGTGCTCCCAGACCCTTTGCTTTTATGTTGTTGTCATTACTTGATGCATTCTAATTATAGCACCATCACTTTACTTCAAACAGGTTTTCTTGGTTTCAATGTTAATTTTCTTTTAGTATTTTGAAGACAGAACTGCATTCCACTCGAGGGAGAATTACCATTTTAGTCTTTGGTGTTTCAGTTTTGTTTTGTTTTGTTTTAAATGTGTTTTGTTTCTTTTCTTAAAAGGAAAGGGCGGAAGAGGGGGAAGCAAATGCCAGTAACCCCAGGAGAATAAATCAAAAGCGACTTTTCTTTCTCATTGCGGTAGAAAGCCAGATAAATATATATTTTTTCTCCTGCTTCAGGTCAGAAACCTTTCCCTTGTCAAAAATGCGATGCCTTCTTTTCTACCAAATCTAACTGTGAACGCCACCAGTTGCGCAAACACGGAGTTACCACCTGCTCCCTGAGAAGAAACGGGCTTATCCCCCCCACAGAGAGTGATGTTGGATCCCATGATAGCACAGGTAGTGCCAGCTCTCGGAGGACCCAGGCTCCAGGCAGAGCTTGCGAAAAGCGATAGCGAGCTCGGGGGTCCGGCTCAGGGCACAGCCCAGAGGGGGCATTGCAGGCCGGGAGCACAGAGACACACAGCAGCCGGCTGTTAGCCAGAGCCCAGGGCTCCTTGGAGCTGCCAGGGAACATTGGCACCCCTGCAGCCGGTGTGGGAGGCGGGCCGTGCAGGGTGGGAGAGTGGTCCTACCCCTCAGTGTGCAGCCTCTGAGGACCACAACAGTGGAAGGGTTTGGAGCCCCACGCTGAGCTCCTGTGAGCAGGGAGGGGCCCTTGGGGATGTCATGGTGTCTCAGGAACTGGGGGTGCTGAGCCCTTGCTGGGGACAGGCAGCGCAGGGTGTTTTTCTTTCCAGTAACTTTTCCCAGTGTAAAGCTGTCCTTGTTTTAAAGCACTCGCATGTCCTTTCTTTAATCACATCTCCGCTTGACCTGAATCCGGGTATTATTCTCCCTGCTACGTGCTTCCTCCTCCCAGCCCCCTGCAGAGCCATTAACCACCGCCCTCTCGCCCCTCTGCACCTTTTTCGTTCCCTACAGCTTGTGTTTCCGCATGTCCTCCATTCAGTTCACCCCATCATCTCTACTGCTGGGGTATGGCACCCTGCACCCCAGAACAACCCAACCAAAAACTAGACTGCTGTAGGCTCTCGATGTGCAAGGTGCTGCAGGCGCCGGGCTTGGTTCTGCAGATCTAAAAACCTAGCGTGCCGTGTTGCCTGAGCCAAGCCCGGGAAGGATCCCTGCGCGTTTGTGTAAAGTTGTAACAGTGTCCCTGGCTTCTCCCCGGACTTGGCTGCAATGAGGTGCCAGTAGGAGGCACCCCACCCCGGAAGTCAGTGTGGACAGAGGGACAGGCATTCCTCCAGCTCCTGCCCCTGGGCCTTGCTTGGTGTCAGGGTCAGCCGGTGGGAATGGGCAGCATTTCCAGGAGCAGAACTGATTCCAGGCTCCTCCCCTGCCACAGTGGCACAGATGGAGGGTGATCTTGACCTGCCTACCCCGTGTCTGGATCAGGCCCTCGAAGGGGGTGCTGGCCCCTTCCCCTGCCCCCGTGTCCACACGATCGGCTGGGTCTTTGGAGTAGAGAATGCTGTGGGTGTTCGGAGCATCCTGCCATGGTTTGCTTCCCCGCCAGCCAGCCAGGGTCTGCTGTGCCCTCACCGCAGCCTGTCCGGTTCGTGTGTGCCTGTCGCCAGCCGCCGCACCGATGAGTCGAGCTCTTTCTGGCGGCCCAGTTTCCGAGGCGACCTTGTGATTGTTCCATAGCACTTGTAAAGGAGGAGTGCGGCTGACCGTTGAGGCTGTCTCTGCTGCATTTACAAACGTGTCTCGAGGTGTAGGGTGTGCACTGGATGCTTGGGCTGGGCTCGGCCCTCCCGTCCTGTGGGAGGAACACTCATGGGCCCGCCCTGTCTGGGGGGGTGCACGTGGAGCCCCTGTGGACACAGCTGCAGCTTCGCGGGGACTTAGCTTCCCTTGAGCCCCAAGCACTGGCCTGTGGACGTGTTTGTTTTTTAAGTGTGCAGCGACAGCTTTTGTTTTTCCAAGACCTTGCCCCGGAAGTTGTATAGCTTTTCTTAAAGGGATAACACTTCTGAGAAAAGAAAGGTCCCTGAAAGTTGTGATGTGAAACCAGCAAAGAGCAGATAGGTGTTGGGTTTCGCTGTGGTCACAGCCCATGGTGAGAAAGAGGCAGGATCGAGAGGGGAGAGGAAGCAGGTCAGGGCGGTCGGTGTTCAGGGGCTTCACGTTACACGCCAGGTGAGCCCGATGAGGGCAGCCCAGGCTGCATGGGAACCCTTCCCGGGAAGTTAAAAGTGAGGTTTCAGAGGGACAGACTGTTCCTTAAAAGGCAGGAAATGGCTGGGAAGTTCTTGAGGTTTGTACGTTGATATGCCTAGCGTGCATTTTCTTAAAATCCCTAACCAGGAGTTTGTAGTGTCAGCTTGACTTTTAGTCACTTGAGGGGCTTCAGGAAAACACTCCAGGTCTCCTCTAAAACAGCGCTAAAAATGCCATGGTGAGGGGTGGTCTTCCCTCCCCTAAGAGGCTGTAAGAACTAGTTAGGCTGAGTCAGAGCGCCCTTGCCCCCTCTGCCTCTGAGGGGCGCCCTCGGGTCTTCCTTTGAAGGGAGCCTGGGGAGCTCCTGTGGCGGTGGGCACCTGGCAGGGCTGTTTTTAGTCGGTACAAACGCCAAGGTGCTCACACCACCCTTTAGTGCCAGCCTCTCTGCCCGCCCAGGGGGCGTGTATCTGTGCACTGGGCAGGAGACGCCCCCAGCACGGGACTGCATCCGGGGACATGCGGCAGCGGCTTCCGCAGCAGACAGAGACTCCTGCCCGGCAGAGTCATTACTGAGGACAGCTGCTGGCGGCTGTCGCATCAGTCAAGCGACATCTCATTTCCAGAGGGGGAGAGCCTTCGCTGTTGAGCTGCCCTGTAGGGGGCGCTGTGGCTTCAGTGTCCACGGGGATTCCTCCGCTTCCTCCGCAGTGTTCTTAAGGGTTACCAGCGGCACAAATGAGGGGCTAATGGGGACAGAGAAGCAGTCCGTGCTTTTAAGGTAGCGTTGCTTATAGAAATGCACCTGCTCCGCTGCTTGCGTTAGGAGCCTGGGTGTCAAGGTGAGTGCGGCCAGACTAGGACTTGACCTTACCGGGCGGGTATTCGTGGTCCCAAGAATCAGAATAGAGATCAGTTGAGGTTGGCTTCGAACATGAAGGGCACAGGACCCCCTACTTAAATACCCCCCAGCAGAGGTCTGCTGGAGTCCCCTTTGTTCAAAGAGGATGTGAGCTGGCTGCCCGTGTACCTGGGAGAACCTGACACTGTCTGCCCACCTTAGGGAAGGGCCAAGCAGCGGCCTGATTTGGTCTTAGTGTATGTACATGGGTGTGGCATCAGAGCTCGGGTTTTGTAGGTTTACCGTGAATATATCCCTTGCGTTTAGACAGTCCCTGGGCCCAGTCTTGGACTTACCCATCCATCACTGCAGTTCCTGGAGGCTGAGGCTCCCTGGGGCCTGGGTCAAGGCCAGCCTGGTAACATGATGAGAACTTGTCCTAGAAGAAAAATCCAGTTAGGCTGTCCTGGGACAACGTAGAAATAACCCGACATTAGACCTTTTTTTAAAAAAATAGCAAAGCCAACAAAGAAGCCAAGGGTTCTCCATTTTCATTATAGATTTTATATCAAAAATCCTATCGATGCTTTCTGTTGAAGTAATAAAAAATGTGCATTTAGGTTTTTCCTTGAAATGTGGCCTAGATGTTAGTACCCGTCTCAAGTCCTTCCTGTCAGAAGTCCGTGTTTTACAGCATGACTGTTTCCCTCCGAGCTCCTTGAGGTGCTCAGACAGTGGCCGTCAGGAGGCACGGCGGAAGTAGAGCGGGTGAGATGCTGTAGGTGGCCGTGTCTTTCGGGTGAGCCCAAAGCCCCAGGCAGAGGCGAGAGCGCCGCTCCCTCTAGGGACCCCGGGGAAGCAGAACAGGCTCCTCAGCCCAGCCCGTGGCCACGTGGGTGACGTAGAACCGAGTGAGTGCCATCAGGCACGTGCCTGCCTCAGCAAGTCACAGTCACCGCTCAGGTGTGCGTCTTCGCCCATCTGCTTGGTGTGCGCGTTGCCACCGCTCCCTCGCTTGGGGCCCCTGGGAGCGGTGGGCCTCGCACATCTCGTTTTACCGTGGGAAGCGGACAGGCAGAGCACGGCAGGGGGCAGGAGTTGGGGTTGCGAGGCACCCGATGCCTGCGATCCAGAATTTCCAGCGCCCACACCCCCGCGTTCGTGGTGTGCCCTCCCGTCGCCCCTAAAGTGCGGCAGGGACGCACGTGTCTCCTTTTGCCCCTCAGCTCCGGCTGGAGACGAGTGTGCGCACCACATAGGTGACTCCGCGCCGGGGATCCCTTTCTGTGCAGCCCGTCAGCCCACGTTTGGAGGACCTGGGGGTGGCCCTGTGTGTGTTGCATGTTTGTATAATCCCTTTGCACTGGAAAAATAACTTACAGCTCAGCTTCCTCAACCCCCCTGGTGAATGCACCCTCTCCTGTCTCGAAGCCTCTGTCTGCGCTGCCTGGGCCACTCGCGCCTCCTGGGGGCGGGGACCACTGAGCAAACCTGGGGTGGCGGTGCAGGCTCAGCCCGGAGCGCAGCTGCGGGAGGTGGAGGCTGCTTTCCCCTCTTCCAGCCCCGACTCACCTTGGCCCCCAGCAGGCTGTCGGGTGGCGAGGAGCGGAGCGGGCAGCTTTGCTAAGTGTGGGGCCCAGAGCGGCAGCGGCGGAGCCCTGGGCGGGGCAGCGTGGTGGGCTCGGCCTGACCCCTCCCCTGTGCTTGCTCACAGACAGCCAGTCGGACACGGAGACGCTGGCCGGGGCTGCGGAGGTGCTGGACCTCACGGCACGGGACCGAGAGCAGCCGCCGGCAGAGGGCGCTGCGGAGCCGGGCCAGGCCCCGGAGGAGCCCCGCGCGGAGGCGGCTGAGGCGGAGGCCGAGGCCCCGGCGGCCTCCCCTGCGCCCCGGGAGGAGGTGGAGGAGGCGCCCGAGGAGAAGCAGGAGCCGGAGGAGGAGCCCGCGGTGGAGAGCGCCGGGGACGCAGACGGCGGGGAGGAAGATGCGGCCAGCAACAAGAGCCTGGACCTGGACTTCGCCAGCAAGCTGATGGACTTCAAGCTGGCCGAGGGCGAGGCGGGCGCCGGGGGCAGCCAGGGCGCGGCCCCGCAGGACCAGAAGCACACCTGCGACGCCTGCGGGAAGAGCTTCAAGTTCCTGGGCACCCTGAGCCGCCACCGCAAGGCGCATGGCCGCCGGGAGCCCAGGGACGAGGACGAGGCGCTGCAGCTGCAAGGCGAGGGCCCGCCGCCGGCCCCTGAGTGCGCGGAGAAGCCTGCGGAGGCCCCCGCCGGGGACCGCGCCCCGGGTGCCAGGGAGGCCTCGGTGGAGAGGCAGCTGGAGGAGACCGAGGGCCCCTCGGACGGGGAGGGCGCCGCGGAGAGGAGGTGCTCGGAGAAGAGTGACGACGACAAGAAGCCAAAGACCGACGCCCCCAGAAGCACGGCCAGCAAGGCCGACAAGAGGAAGAAGGTCTGCAGCGTGTGCAGCAAGCGCTTCTGGTCCCTGCAGGACCTCACCCGGCACATGCGGTCCCACACAGGTGAGGGGCGGCGGGGCAGGCGTGCGCGGCCGGGAAGGGGGCCGTCCCGCAGCCCGAGGCTGCGCGCTCGGCCCAGCCCCGTCCTGGGGGGCGGCCCAGCCGTCCTGCCGGCCAGCGCGGTTGTCCGTGGCCCTGTGGGGCACTCCTGGGACGCCGCCACTGCCTTCAGGGCCGAAAACCTCCAGGCGGGGCCGTTGTTCCGGCAGAAAAGGAAACGGAGCCAACCCTGAAACTAGAAGATAGCAGTAGGCGTCCCGCTGCTTCTGGGCGCGGCCCTCCGCTTGCCCGGCACGGGCCGGGCGCCCGGGGGCCGGTGTGACAGCCGGTCTCCCGTGGGGCCCTTGGCACCCTGCGCGGGAGCGGCCGGAGCACAGCCTCTCCTCCTGGGGACGCGGGCCAACCCAGCCTATGACCGGGGCGCCGCTGTCCCCGCAGGGCCGGCCCGGCCTGTCCTCTGTGGGGCTCTTCCCGGGCTCTGCCCGGCTGCACCGCGTGTCCCCTGGGCTTGTTGGGTTCCGGGTTCTGTGGCCGGGGAGTGGGCATCTGGGTGCAGGCCGAGAGGAGACGCTGCCCTGCCCGTGTCTGACCCGCCTGCCCCTCCACGTAGGCGGGGGCCGTGCAGAGGAGGGACGCGGCCCGGCACTAACACTGTCACTTGCTCTCCGCGCCAGGGGAAAGGCCGTACAAGTGCCAGACCTGCGAGCGGACCTTCACCTTGAAGCACAGCCTGGTTCGGCACCAGCGCATCCACCAGAAAGCCAGGCACGGGAAGCACCGTGGGAAGGACAGCGACAGGGACGAGCGGGCGGAGGAGGACAGCGAGGGCGAGTCGGCCCACAGCGGCAACAACGCGGCGTCGGAGACCGAGGCCGAGGCGGCTCCCAGCGCCGGCAGCCTCGCGGCCGTCACCCGGGGCCGGAAGGAGGGCTCGGCTGGCGCCGGGAAGGACTGCGGCCGCCGGGAGGAGAAGGCCACGGCCGGGCGTGCGGCAGAGCCGGGCCCGGAGAGCCCCGAGGCCCTCGTGCAGGACCTGCTGGAGCTGTGCGGCAAGCGGCCGGCCCACCCGCTTCTGGCCAGCGATGGCGCCTCGCAGCTCCTGGGGATGGAGTGACGGCGCTCCGCCCCTCGCTCAGCACACAGCCGGCGGAGCCCCCTCTGCGCCCCTGGCGCGTCCTCGGTGTCCTTCGCTGCGAGGGAGCAGGGGGGCAGGAGAGACAGCGGCGAGCGGCCGCGGCTGTGCCCGGGCCTTCCGCGCGCGGGCGAGGCCAGCCCGGCCGGTGCCAGTGCCTTACCTACTTGCGGATCCTCGGCACCGTCTCCGTGGGCGCTTTCTCCCGGAGCAACTCCTTAGCAAGGCAGAGGCCTTAATGAATTGTGTGGGGCGGACCTCTGCGCCTAAGCATTAACGTCACCTTCTGTGTGGGTGTGTGTGCGCTTGTTTTTGTGAATCTGTGATCGTACTGTTTGTTCTGTGAGCTGAAAACAGAAGAAAAAAAACATGCCGTTGGATCCCGATAGCCAATAACTGGAAGAAAACGATGTGAATTTCATGTCCCGAGCAGAGCGGAAGTGGATGCCATGCCGATTTCCCGGGCGCACCTTTGCTCTTCTCCATGCGCTGCATAGAGGAGCTGTGGTCGGGTCCTTGTTATCACAGGACCTGGTCGATGAAGGTCGCGATGTTCCTCAAGCCAAAACCAGGAAAGATTTGTAGCGTCAACCTCATACGTGTTTCCAATCTTCCCACGCTAGAGATGGTCACTGTCCAGGTTTCCAGACGTTCCCAGTTTCTAGCAGAGGCCCCTCCCCGGCGGCTTAACCTATGGAAGACGTGCCTGGACGTTAGCTAGTCGATCCCCTCCCCATTCGGTTTATGTTATTATTAATATTATTATTATTATTATTATTTTTAGTTCTCCAGTTTGCTGGGCTCTGCAGTCAGCAGAAACATGTGGGCAATATTTGTCCCGGGAGACCTGTGCCGCCCCGCCCTGTCCCGAGTGCCGTGTGCCTGAGCTCCCCCAGCGCGCTGCAGTGACAGCTCTTCTACTGTACCCAGACAAGCCCTGCTCCCGGCCCGCAGCACCCAGGGGGCCCTGCCGGGAGCGCTGCCTGGACGGCTTCGGAGAGGCGAGGCGGCCACGCGCCTTCCCGCTACACGGCGCCGGCCTTCCTGCAACGCCTAGCGCAGGCCTCGCCCCAGCTATGCTACTGTCATTTGAAAAGCAAGGAAATACTACTACTGGTAATAGAACGAGCAGGCAGGGTGGACGTGAGAGATGTGTGGTCCCTTCCCTGGCGTGGGCTGGCGTTAGACACAGGCGCCCGCTCACCGCCTGGCCTGAACCCCCGGTGCAGAAAGGCGGGATTTTGCGTCCCACACGAGGAACAGAGTCCCCTCCCTAGCCACCAGGGACACAAGTCACACTGTAGCCGACCTCGTGCTCGGCGCTCTGTGCTCCAGCCAGCCCGAGGGGGCCTGCCCGTGGGCCTTGAGCCTCCCGGGACGCCCGTACCCGGACCTCCTCTTCCCTGCCCTTTCTGCTCCTGGCCTTGGAGCGAGCCGCCCCACCCCGCCCCAGCGTCCGGCGGTTAAAGCGCAGCCGCCCTGACTTCGCGGGAGGGTATTCTTGAGGTCGTGAGAAGTGGTATCTTTGCAGATGAAAGGAAAAAGGCTGAGGTGTGTATGAGGTTTAACTGTATTCGGGATGTGTGAACCAGCTTAAAAGTGCGGTTTTATTTACTGTAGAGGTGAGTGCGCATCAGAACCAATGATCCCTTGGTGTCTTCTAAGTTAAAACCAGTTCATGCATCCCTTAGTTGTTTTTTTTATTATTATTACAATTGTTGTTATTTTCGTTGTTATTATTATTTGGGGTTTCTTGTGTTTTGTTTCTCTTCGCAACTCTCCACACTAAACTCGCAATATTGTGGGGAGAAGCCAGGGCTAAACCCAACGCTGCGGTGAGATGTAGCAGGGGGCGGCTCCCGCTGCCAGTGCGGCGGGGGCTGCCGCTCGCAATAATCACTATTGATTTAAAGCTTTATTTAGCCTGGATCTGTACCCTTGTAGTCGGTAAGGTCTTACCACATCTTATTAGTGAGGTTGACAGATGTTCGTCGTTCCACCCCTCCCCAGTATCAAACTGTGAAATTTGTGATTTGTTTAAACGCTGGGTGAATCATAGCTTAGTTTGCATGTCCAGCTAATTTGTTTCTATACATTTTGTTTGATTCTCTTTCTCCTTCTCTCAGGGCTTTTACAAATATATATATAAATATATATATATGGATCTTCTGAAAAGTTTTTTGAGGTGCAAGTTGTTTTCTCTTTTGTTTTTCCTCTTTGATTAATGGACACAATGCTGAGATTCAATCACTACATGACACACCTGGCTGTGAGAACAGAACAAAACGCCCGGGAGCTCCGAGACAGTCGAAGCGCTGCAGGCAGATTCACCCCACGTCGTCTCTCTCCTCTCTCTTTCAAGAAGGAAGTTGATCCTAGTGATTTCAGCCCATGCATTAAACAGGAAGCAATAATAAATATGTAGAATTCATATTTTTCTAAAGGGAACTTAAGAACTGCTGCTACATGTTATGTACAAAATTGGTTTATGCCACATGAACAGAGAATCACAAGTTTGGTTTTGGTACTTTTTGTTCCTCTTTGTACTCAGTTGTATAGAACTTCCAAATCCAGAATGAAAAGAAAGCTGTTCTGTATTGAACCATCTAAGCAATAAATGTTATATTTTAAAAAACGGCAGAGTGCCGGTCACGCGGCCCCCTATGATTTGCTGTGGTCTGGGGCCCGGCCGGCGGGGTCCTGTGGGTCTGTCGCCTGCTGCCGCGTTTCGTGGGGAGAGGGAGCCCGGCCGGGGCGGTGTGTGCCTGCCGTGTGCCTGCGGGTCGTCCTCTGCAGTCCATGACAGTTCCCTTCCAAGTCTCCAGGCGGTGGAAGGGCTGTCAGCCTCCAGGGTCTGGCGAGACGGGTGCAGGATGTATGGGGATGCTGGTGTGGGCCTGGGCCGGTCCCGGGGACAGACAGGACGCTCGAGGTGCGCGGGGAAACGGGTCCCATGGCTCCTGCCCTCAGAGGTCGCTGTGTGTCCGCCAGCCCGACCCATAGCTCTTGGGCGCAGGGTGGCACAGCATGGGGAGGCAAGCAGAGGAAGAGGCCGGGGTCCCCTGTGTCACCTCCCGCCTCCCGCGGCCCCACAGCCTGGTGACCAAGCCCTTGGCACAAGGGCCTCAGGGACAGCGGGCGCTCAGGGAGTGCAGTCCGGGTACTTCCTGTGGCCTGGCATCGGGTGAGCAGAGCAGCAGTGGCCTGGCACCAGCCCAGCTTGGGTCTCCTGCACTCTCCCGGCTCGCTGGTTCTCAAGGCAGCTTTTGGTTGGCTGGAGATGGCATTTCGCTAAGATGCCCAGCCTGGCCACAAAATCAGGATCCTCCCGCCTCAGCCTCCGGGTAGCGGGGATCACAGGCATGCGCCACCACTCCTGGCTCCAGACTCCTTTAAAGGGCCGACTGCCACTGAGGCCCGCTGCCGCCCGCTCGGTCACCTACTCCCCTTGGACGCAGAAGGGAGGGCACCAGGTTTATTTTAACTTATAATTGCAGGTTGCTCGTTCACAGCAGTAAAGCCAGTGCCAGCTGCCAGAGTCTGTGTCCTAAATAAGAAACAAGCAGTCCCTCCTTTCCCCGCTACTCTCAGGGGAAGAAGCCACAGCCCCCCGCGGCTGCGATCGGCCTCGCTGGCCGGGGCTGCCCTACGCCTCGGGCAGGAAATAACCGAGGGGCCAGAGAGGGGCTGCAGCCCTGCCGGCCCGGACTAAGCCTGGACCAGCACGGCTCTGACGTTCACGGAGCCCTACTCAAGGTGGCAAACTTGCAGAATTTTTTAGAGCCGGAGTCTTGCAGTGTGTAGTTCAGGCTGGCCTCCAACTTCCGCGATCTTCCTGCCTCAGCTTCCCCATGCAGGAGTGCTTAAAGCGGGGGATCAAGGCAGTCTGTCTCACAGCGTCTGTGTGCGCTCTGCGGCGCCCGCTGAAGGGTGCGGGCAGACTGGAGGTGCCGGCTCCTTCCAGGGCGCGAAGCCCAGGTCTTCCCCATTCATAACAAGCGATTAAAGCAGGCTCAGCGCTGGAGGCGGGCTCTGCCCCACCGCAGGAGCTCCAGGCCGGGTCTTCTTGGAGCGCGGTGTGGACAGCGCCCTGCTGCCTCAGCCTCCGGAGACCTTTCCCAGGCTGTTGCTGAAAATCCCATTCACGCGGCGGCCGCTTGCACAGGAATCCCCGCGCGCGTGGAAGTCAGGTGCACGCGGCCCTGGGGCTCTCGGCCTCCCGGGCGGTGACCCCGACTTTGCCAGCACCGCGGCCCGCGCCCGGCAGAGGGCGCCTCGCGTGCCGCGCGATCCCCGACCCGGGCCAGGCGCGGCGCGGTGCGCACGGAGCGGGGGACTCGGGCACCCCTGAAACCGGCCCCCCGGGCCCAGCGCACCCCGTCTCCGGGCCCGGCTCGGCCTCCTCGGTCCAGGCACACGCGGACGGCACCCGCGGCCCTTCCAAAGCGGCGACCCAGCAGCGTCCCTGCCCCTCCCGGAGCCGGGCAGAGCCAGCCGGCGTCCGCAGGATCCTGCCTCCCGGGGGCGCGGCCCGGATCCCCCACCTGTCTAAAAGCCTCTGCCGGCTGCGCAGTCGCAGGCGCGGGGGGCGCCGCCACCGGGGGCGCCGGGGACCCGCTGGAGCCCTCTGCCGGCGGTGCGTGGAACTGCTCCCCACCGAGGTCTCCCCGGACCCGCGTCCCGCCGGGTCCCTGTACGCCCCGGGTCGCCAGCAGGACCCTCTGCACTGTCCTCGCGCCTGTGGGCCCCCTTCGAGGCTTGCTGCTAGTTAGCTAGCTGTTAGCTGGTTATTGAGACAGGATCCCCGTGTGTTCCACAGGCTGGCCTTGAGCTCCTGGTTACACGGCCGCTGGGACCACAGGCTGCACCTCTGCCTGCCTTCCGAGTTCTCTTTTTTGGGCCGTAGGGAGGGCTGCAGAGGGAACCCAAGGCCTTTACGCTGAGCTACATCCTCAGCCATTTTTAAATTTTATTTATTTTTAAACGGTCTTGTTAAGGCATTAAGTTGCCCAGGCTGGATTCAGACTCACAGTCCTCCTGCCTCAGCCTCGCGGAGTGCTGACACTACAGGTGTGCACCTAACCCAGGCTTCGAATTCTAAAAATGGGAGGGGTCTCGTGTGTTTTCAGGCACTTGCAGGCTGCATATATCGTGTTCATCTGGTCATAAAGTGAGGTCAGGAAGGGCTGCTTGAACTTGAGAGGTGGTTTATCTTACATCACCCAGAGCCTCGGGCACAGTGTGCAGCAGAGGGCGCCCTGCCTGTGCGCTGCTGTGTCCCCTCCCATTCACACATGCGGTCCTGGGCCCCGGGACACCTGGCTGGGACCGTACGTGCCGTCAGGGCTTCAAGGAGGTAAATGTTTTGTATTTATTTTTTTATTTTTATGTTTTTGGTCTATTTGAGACAGAGTCTCACTATGCAGTTCAGGCTGGCCTTGGGCGCACTTTGTAGCCCAGGCTGGTCTCGAACTCGCAAAGATCCTTCGAGGAGGTAAATGTTAAGACGATGTCATGTGCTCTGGCCAGTGTCCTGCAGAAGAAGCGCTCAGGACCCAGAGACGCAGAGAAGACCCTGTGAGGACACAGGAGGATCGGGCACGCGTCTCGGATGCCAGCCTGTGACAGCGGCAGTGACCGTGCTGGGGAGGCCGCTGCCTGGGGAGCTGCACTGTGGCACCCAGGGGGCTGGCACGGGCCGGGGCGGTGCTGCCTGGCAAGCAGATGCTCACGGGGCCGGGGGACAGGAGGACATTTCGCTCGGGAGGCCGGGGCTGTGCTTGCCACCCCAGAGCCGCAGGCCAGGCACGCGGGACATTCTCAGTAAGCGTGAGGGGCCGTCCCTGGCGGCCGCAGTCACCTTCTCGTCACCGGGACGCAGCACTGACACCCACACTTTACAGCGGGAGGGGCTGCTTCGGGCTCACGATAGTCACTGATGCCACACGTGAACGGGGCAGGCGGAGGAGAGCCGCTCCCGCAGGGCGAGCAGGAAGCCGAGTCCAGGGAAGCATCAGGGAGGGACATAACGCTTCTGGGTCACACCGCAGAGCTGTGAGCCCCGCAAACCCCTGCCGAGCCACACCGCTGGACGGGCCCCTTACCTTCCTGGAAGAGAACACACAGGGTGAGGCCCAGGAATGGTGCCAGGCGAGTTATAAACCCAAGGGACAGACCTTTCCCGGGCACCTTTGGCACCCCGCTGGGAGGGTCAAGGGCTGCGTGAATCACAGCCTCTGTCCCAGCTTTCATGGGAGATGCCTTCCCAACAGCCAGAGCAACAAGAAAGGCGTGTGTTTGATTTGTTGGAAAGCTGGGAGACTGCCCTGGCCTACGCCTGGGTGGCCAGTGCTGGGGCTTCTGGTGTGCTGTGTGACGCAAGGAGGGAGCTGGGTCCCGCCCGGAGCCCCCCAGGTGCCCCGCCCTGCCGGCTGCTGGGTTTGAATTTACTTCAGAGTTTCCCTGAAAATGCAGCTTCTGGGCCAGGCCTGAGGTTCTCCTTCAGCAGGTGTCAGAGTGTGCCCCTGAACTGTCCCGGTCCCGTGTGTCCCCTTGGGGTGGGGACTTCAGAAGCTGATTGGACCCGAAGGGCTATACTTCCAGCAGCGGGCCAGCGCACCGAGGGAGGCAGCTCTGCAGGTCTGGGAGGTGACAGGAACCCCAGCAGAGTCTGGGAGGCGGGTGGGCCGTGTGGGCGGGTCGAGGAGACGGCGTCGCCCCCAGCCCCTTCTGCTGTCACCCTCTCTGCCTGCTGGCTGCCCTGCGGTGGTCACCTTCGCTCCTGACAGCCACCCGGACGCCACGGACCAACCCCCCGGAACCATGAGCCCAGATCACTCTCTCCCGGGGAGGGCGGATGCCAGGTGCTGCACCCCAGCCGGGGAAGGGGCCGCTGCAGTGACTCAGATGCCGGTGGCTCACGACCGGCTCCTCTGACCGAGCAGTGGCAGCGACTTTCTCTTCCTTTCCTGGGCCCTGTGTCCTCCTCACCTCCTCTTCCTGCTCTCTGCTCGGCCCCTCTGTACTCAGAGGCCCGGCTCCCGGTCGCCCCCCGCCCCGAGTGTGCTCCTGCCGCAAGTACTTGAGGCTGGTCCCAGCCAGGCTGGGTCGAGGACGGGGACCTGGTCCCGCACCTGGCTTCCCCGGGCTGGCACTAGGCGCGAGACGCAGACGCACCGCTCGGCTTTTCACTGGTTTATTTCAGCCCAGTGGGCTGCGGTGCAGCACAGCGCACCCCACACACACAATGAAAGGCTGGGGGGCTGGGCAGCGTGCCCGGGAGGCTGCCCCTGCCCCTGTAGGCGGTGCCACATGGCCAGGCCGCCCCTTGGACCTGCTGGTCACTCTCTCCTGCTCTCGGTGCCACCTGAGCTCCAGGGTGACGGCAAGCTGGCCCCGAGGCGTGCCCACCCCGTCCCTGGCCTGCGGCTGGCAGCAGGGCCTGGCTTCCTGCGAAGTCTCGGCCAGGACCCAGGCCCAGCAGCTGCTCCTCCTCCTCCCCAAGCCCGAGACACCGCTCCTCCGGGCAGTGACCCACACCGGCGCTGCCCTAGGCTCCACGGCAGCCTTGCGGTGCAGACAGCCAGCCGGGCCTGGGGCCTGGGGACGGTGCGGGGTCTTCCGGAAGCGGCCGGGCCATC